TACATGTACATAAATTTATACATAATGGTGTCCATAATTACACGTGGCATGGATCTAACCATTAATTCAAATCTTACACTTTCACATCAACAACAGGATTTTGTCCACATCATATTATGGATGTACATATATTATGTACATGTAGACTTTTCATTTTTTTTTAATAGACATTAACTATGTCGCAATCATTGCATTTTAATTCATGCCTTTTGATATGTGGAATTCACGTATTTAACTTTTGTCTATGTGGAATTCTTTTTGAAGTTAGGCCTCGTTTGATATCCCCAATTTTCCTTGGAACTTGGAAATCATTTTTCATTTTCCATCTTTTACCTTATTTGATAGGAAGAATTTTCCTTGGAATTGATTTTCCACCCTATCCCCCACGTAACCCATTTTTCCTTGTTTTCCTTGAATTGGGTTTTCCACCACTTTGGTAGGAAAATGGTTTTCTAGCTTTTTTTTTTTTTTTAACAATGAAAACAAATTATATCCCCAATTGTAACAAATTATATTCCTTTAATCGACAATTTTCATGCAAAATAAAACCAAACGAACACCAAAAGATTCGAAATTTCAATATTTTCCACGTGAAAAATTATATTAATCAAACACAATTAATTGACTATTCTCGAGAAAATAATTCTAGGCAATTTAATTCTCTAGAATTCATTTTCTTTCCACCTAAATTTCACTCTTGCAATCAAACGAACCATTATTTATCTAAAATTATTCATGCATTTAACTTCTATATACGTGAATTCACGTGTTTGGTATCTTTTGCATGTTGGTAAAATATTTAGCCAATAAAGGATTTAGTCATTAACTTCCATATAGAAGATTTTTTTCCTAGTGCATGTTTTGTGATTAATTTTTATATATAAATTATATTCTATCTGTTTGGTAATTAATTTTTATATCACATCATATTTGTATGGTAATTAATATTTTTAACCTAAATAAATATTTTTATATGTTCCTTTATAAACTTTAAATTAATAATCCAACATGTTGTTGCTACTGGAGTAGCACAAAATTATAATTAATATTTCAGGAGAATATTATTTGCTCATGAAGAGCATGGTTTACAATTTTCAATATTTTAGAAGAATATTGGCATATTGTTCTTGAGGAAGCAATATTAAAATATAACGTGCTCTCAAAGTAACACATCATAATTCTTATTAATATTTTAGTTAGATTTTACTTGCTCTCGAAGAGCATAATATTATAAAATCTAACATAAATTATGTTTTTACTTTTAAAGAGTAAATCCTTGTATAATCTATTATAATAATATTTGATTTCTCTTGAAGATCATGAATTATAATTTTTAATATTTCAAAATAATATTGACATATTATTTTTGAAGGTGCAATAATAAAATACAACGTGCTCTCAAAGTAACACATGTTTCGAATAATGTATCATTTTGAATTCATACTTATCCTTGAATGGAAATATATAACTAATGTCATGAGAACATTGATTAGTTTGACTACTTGAATTATATATAATTATATAATGTTTAATCATATTCTTTAAAATTAAACAATTGAATTATATCTTATATTGAACCAGAAGGTCAATTTGACTATATTGTTTGGCATGATCAATTGGATCATCATTGCATCAACAATGATGCGAAATTAAAAATTCAAATGGATATATAACGAAGAACTAGGAGAATCTCTTATTGATCGAAATCCTATGTGACATTTGTTCTCTTTCATGAAATTTTTTCATTAACTATCACTAGCTAAATTAAGAACTGAATTCCCTATATTTCTGAAATTTAATTAGGGTGATAAATGGGGCTCCATCATCCTCCACGTTACCCATTTAGATATTATTTGCATCTAATAGATTTGATACAAACACTCGATGATTGTGTTGTATTGGCAACCTAAATTTTGCGAAATTACTACTCAAATTATAAGCATAATTTTTGAATTATACAATCAATATGGTGTCTTGTTAATTCTATAGAGCCTAAATCTCAACATCTTAATAAGTGTTAGTTGGAATGTCAATAAATATTTTAATAATATTGCATTTTAAATGCCTCCAATTAATATAATTGAGAATAAAGTACTTCCTATTTTTGTTTGGGGTATGTTATTATGCACATGCTAACATCATAGTTCTCCCTCTTAAAATTGACTTATGATTAGAGCTTAATTTTTCGATATAATTATTTTGATAGTGCAACATATATAAAATTGACCAACCACAATGCACTGAGATGGAAAGTAAAGAATGCTGAGAACGAATGAGTAGTTTGAATCCTTATATAATCTTAAGCCTTAACGAGTGATATTTCATAAAGCGATTTACTGATTGTTAATTTGATGGGACAATTCTCTCAACATTAGTGGGAGGAATTAAAAAGTTGAAGCAAAACATAATTCAAACCAGAAGTTCGAAATATAATTTATCTAGATGCATGTCAGATCAACAATATCTCATATATCACTTTAATGCTCCAACTTGAATTAACGTCCTAAAAGGCAATTAGTTAAAATTATATTTGATACATTAAAAGCACGCATGGAAATGTCATGTATTCAATTTTAATATAAAAAATTTCAAACGAAAATGGAACAATTATTAAAGATAGTCCTATTAAGAAGGTACATACTCTTATGAGTTATGAACCCCAGAAGATGTTTAGATACCTGATGCATTAAAAATTGAGATATCTCAATAAGTTATGAAAATAGAATCGAAGAAAAAAGGTTGTCGGCAATATTTTTGTATATAATGTACCGCTTCGTATTATGAATAGCGAGGATATTGAGATAAATTTTTTGAAATATATT